CAATACATTCATCACGGCAAGACCCAACAAGTAAATAAAGGATATGATCATATGACTATGAATCTATGATGTACCTATATTTCTCACTTATCTATCTATGAATCTCATTTTTTCATTACCACTTTACATTTTATTCGCTTGTACTCTTAAGATGCTTATAAAGATATATAATTGGGAAAATATCACTATTTTTATTTTTAACGAGTGAGTTCAGAATCTAAAATTTCCAATATAAACGATACATTTTAAAAAGATTTTAAACCTTAAAAATAAACGTTGTCTTAAATATCTATTGAACTTGATTTTGGTCGCATAGTTCGATTTTATTGGTACAGGCTTCCAACTGACGGTCTCTTATTACCTTTTGTGAGATTCTTCCGTCTAGTCGTCTAAGGGATGCTCAAGGTATTAACTTTCGAAGTCGTTATATTAACAAGTGAGACAAGATGAAGAAATAACTAACAATGGTTTATGACTTTTGGTTAGCCCGATTTTATGGTGTTTGATCTATTATTGTTTTCATGTTTCTTTATTTTCCTGATATATATCGGATATACTCTTTTAGTCACCTATTAGTGTGCATTCCAATCGTTTGCTCATTATTCGATTAAAATCTATTCAGTTTTAAAAAAGAAAACCACCTACCCCAACCAACATCAATATCACTATCAAATTTCAGATTGTTTCGTATGTTACATACTAAAAGGAAAAAAATAACTTTATACATTAGAGTAACTCTCTTTCTAATATAGCGGCTTTCATAGCTTTGAGAGAGTCCTCCATTTCATCACAAAGCTTGTGAGGATTTGGTACGACCTTAGTATCAACCCCTATCGATATTACCATCTTATCCGCGTAACTTAAGAAATGTATTGTTAATGCCTATAAAAGAAAACAGAGAACATTATATGAGCCATATAATATTTTTTCCTTAGAAAAAAAAACATTATATGAGAAGGTAAGGAGAAGAATAAAACCAATTAATAAGTTATATTTTACAACAAGAGATACGTACATGAGTGAGTCCATAGACACTTGGAGCAATATAAGCAATCTCCTGGCCATGGAAACTGATTTCTTCCCTAGGTCCAACCATGTTTGAAATGGATGTGGTCGTGCTCGAAGAAATTCGTGTGAGTAATATCGCACCTACCTAAAATAACAAGAGCTAATTTTATGTTCAATAACAACAACATTGAGCTCACCTGATCAACTCATATACCTTAGTTCCAAAAGTATTGTAGATGAATTTGGTGCTCGAATATGCCAAAGAAGCTAGAAGTGAATGTTTTTTCCGATCCATATTTGATTTTGCTTTTGTTAGATACACCAATGGATCAATCTCTAAACCGATTGAGATCGGAAAGCCAATAGAGCTGAAGTAGTTTCCCCATCTACATTTCGAATTCTTGGCCATCATATTTGCCAATGGCTTCACACATGTTTTTGCCTTGTGTTACAATAGATATAAATGTGACAAAAGGTTGATTATTTCTAATTTTGGATGTTTCTAACCTGGATTCCAATGTCTGACCTTAGGTTTACTAAAACACTTGTCGTAAGTCGTATTTTACCAGGAAAGTTGCTCAGATACCGTGAAAGAGCGGCTTGTGTAAATCCGAGTAGAACATCATTGATACTGTGGTGACAAACAGAAGAAGAAGAAAAAGAGAAACCATCAAAAATAGTTATTATTAGCTTCAATATATAAATCAACATGAAAAACGTACGATGTTCAAATTTTTTAAATTTTTTAAAGAAAAAAAGGGCTAAAATTTTTTATTTTTTTTAGGTATATACGAAAAATAGCCCAAAAAAAATTTATACTAAAAGGGTCCAAATTTTTTTTGTTTTTTCCCTGGGCCCTTAAAAGTTTTGAGACGGCACTGCACGGTCTTATGCTTTTTTAGCACATACGTCTTAAAAGTTTTGAGACGGTACTACACGGCACTGCACGGTCTTATGCTTTTTTAGCACATACGACTAAGAGAGACATGAGGGATGTTCCATCTCCTAATGAAAGGTGAGCTCTTATTACACAAACTGCTTCTGCATCAGATGTTTTGATGTTGAGGATATGAATGTCCCATAAAGGTTTTGACTTATCAAGAGGAAGCACGGTGAGACGCGAAACGTAGTCTTCAACAAAACTTTCCCCATCTTCGCCTATATCTTCCGGGTCCTGATCTACTACAATTACATGGTCTTCGACATTGACTTGAGTCTTAATCCAACTTATACCATCTTCAGACTATATATGAAAAGTTGGAGATTAAAACACTTATAAAGTTTCAATCTAATGAATCAGTTTTTTTGTATAGTACAATAAGTATATTTGTTACCAATTTGCTTGAAAATCGAGGATGCTTGGAAACGTTATGGTTCAAGCTACTTCGAATGACGTCAGCATTGATCGTACTTTTGAAACCGATCATGGTGACAATGCAGCACTCTTTTCCCGGCAATTGGAACACACGAGCGACCGGTTCTCCATCTTCTTCTTCCACCTGACTTATTGTTTTCTTGTGTGTTTTGAGTAAAACCTGTTCCATGTGTTTGAGGACGATAGATTGTGAAATCTAAGGGATTCAAAGTGGTGTGATATAGCATGTGTAGAAAACGCCTAATGATAAGATCTAGTCTTTGTAAACAATATAATACATGTGCAGTTCATGAATACAGTTAATCGTTGACCAAATAATTTATTTTTTAAACCAGTCTTCAGTATTAAA